CACGAGGTGAAGGTGGGCAGGGAGGACGGGCCTGATGGAGTGACCATGTCTGTGATAAAACCAGGTGCACGGCTCACACCTGTGAGAATGGCTGCTATGAAAGGAGCACAGAGCGGCAAGCGCTGGCCGGGACGCGCAGAGACAGGGCCCGAGCACAGTTGCTGGGAAGACAGTGCGCAGCTCCCTCCGCTTGATACCGAGTCACCCCGTGACCCGCCAATCCCACACGCGGGGACCAACCCCAAGGAACTGAAAGCGGGGACTTAAAGAGATATTTGCACCCCACGTCACTGCCGCATCCTTCACAAGAGCTAAACCGTGGACACAACCCGGTGTCCCCCTGTGGTCCACGGATGAGCAAGGGGCATCATTCAGCCTCGAGGAGGAAGTCTGTCCCCAGCCTCGAGGAGGAAGTCTGTCCCCAGGACCGTGAGGACGTTATGCTCCGCAAAACAAGCCAGGCAGAAAGACAAATGTCGGGCGATTCCACGGACATGAGGTCCCTAGAGAGGTCACATTCATGGAGACGTAGGTGGTGGTGCCGGGGGCTGGGGACGGGGCTGGGCAGTGAGTGTTCAGTGGGGACAGTTTCATGCTGGGAAGATGGAAAAAGTCCTGGAGATGACGGTGGTGATGGTTGCCCCACACTGAGAATACATCTAATGCCACTTTGCCCATAGATATGGTTAAGGTGGTAAACTTCACGTTGACTGTGTTTTATCGGAATTTTTAAAACCACGCATCCCGCTACCCGCAAACCCTCGCCCCACGATGGTGACCTCAAAGGCAACGTGAACTCAGAACCCCAGCAACTGCAGCCACTGCTTAGAAACAACGTAAACAACCCCGGCCGACCACGCAGAAACAAGGTGGACTGGATTCTATGTAATGGCCGCTTAAAGTCTGCTCATTCCTAGTCGAACACAGGTAAAAGGGTGAACGATTGGAAGTGATCAAACCTGAACCCCAAAGCCCCTGCCGACGAGCTACGGAGCACGATTTTCTTAGTGCGTCTGTGCCGTGCCCCATGGCAGGCCACATCCTGCGACGTCATTCTAAGGAAGTGAAAGCCACCATGGTCCTCATGTTTAATTTAGTGCCCGATTCGGCGAAGTCCACTTGGCTCAGCGTGGGTTACGTGGCCTCTGTCCACTCCCTCAGTCACCTTCCTGGGCGAGGGCCAGAGTCCCAGCGGTGACCTGCCCAGAGGAGTTAGGCCACCGCCCTTTGGGAGGGCTCAGTCACTCTTCCCAGGATTCTCGTGGCTGCAGGAGGCCCCTGTCTGCTCAACACCATGTGTCCCCCCCACACACACCATAAGTCACATGAGAGAAGCGATCAGGTGATGAAGTGAGTTTATTGGGGTGCCCGGGGAGGTGCT